AAAAAAAATCTATACTTTTTTCTATGATATATGGGCTGGGTCTGATTTCTGGAATAAAATCTCTGAAAAACTAAAATGGGTTGGATTTGGCTATGCCCGGTTGAATGGTCACGATTAATTGTATAACCCTACAAATATTTTCCACGGAGCCCTAACTTGGTTTGCATCATTCTTCTTCTCGCCGGCCGCCGGGAAGTGAGGCCGCTTGGTCGAAAATAATCGGTAATGGTTACTCTCCGATCACTTCATCGCTCGAAATCTGACTCTTTATTCCATAATCTGAAGCTCTAGCCGCATTCTTTTCAGTTTTTGTTTTTGTTTTGTTTTTTTTCTTCCCCGTCTTGCATTTTATTTAAAGCTGTATATGATTCTGTCTTCCTGGGTTTTTGTTCTAAAAAGCCATGCAACCTCTTCTTTTTAATTTTCGTTGATGTCTGAGGATTCGTGTGTGAATGATTTTATTGCGACTGTATTGTTTGATATGCTCTGTTCCATCAGTTGTTAGAAATTCGTGATGAGTTTACTTGATTTGGTTGTAGCTTGCTTTTTTTTTCCTTTCATATTTCATGCTGGAGTTTATAGCTCACTAACATTTGTCTGTGGGGGATTTGGAGGACGTGAATTTTGAACTAGGATCTGGTAAGCTGTTAGTTTTTGGTGTTGGGTAACCGTGCGTTAAGATCAAAGGACAAGAGATTATATTAGAGGTTTGCTTAATCTACTATTTTGTTGGACTTTTTTAAATCTTTAGCCTCTATTGATGCTCGATGTTAATTTTGATGATAATGTACTGTTGAGTTATATGTTGAAATGAAGAAGTTTAGATATAGGAAATTTCTTTTATATTGGATTATTGAATATGAAGTTAGGAGTAAGCATATATATTTTCTTTTGATATTAGGAAACAACACTTGTTAATTCAATTGTAATTAATCAATGAAGAATGACATTTATTCAATAATATAAAATGCCTTCCTAAAATTGGATTTTGTATGCCAAGAATGCCAAGCTTATTGAGAAGAGATGCAAAGTGAGAATTGAGAGGCTTAATGATTAAATCGATAAGCTGTCAGGTGGATGGAACATCTATAGTGACAATAATACTTCAATGAATTCGTTCAACAATGTTATGATTATCAATATCTATGTTTTTGTACTCTCATAGTAAATTGGATTTGTAGCAATTTGAGTTTTTCCTTATTTTCATAAAATAGTTTGGCGGATTGTTGATGTTTTAACCTCAATTCATCCATTTGATAATTGAGACATGCAATTCTCATGTAATAGAAAGCTTATTTTTTGGTATTTTATTGTATTGAATATGATGTTGCTTGTTCATAAGTCAGGTTCCATAGAACAGAAAGGTTCCATTGTTTTGGTGAGAACTCCACACAAGTGGTGAATGCTTGAAGAAGAAATGAGTTTGCTAGTAGTCTTTGTAGTGTGGGAAGTGTGGTAGTTCCAGATCTTGATATTCGTTTGCTTGATTTGATCGAAACGACAAGTGGGAGGAGGATGTGAGGTGGTATTTGGTGTCAAAATTTGATTTGGTCTCATTTGAGGTGCATAATTGCGGCGGTAAATGATGATCGTTGTTTTTGTGGGGAGGCTTGTTTTTATGTTGTTGATTCTTATCAAGCTGGGAGATATAATATCAAACATTATTTTTTGTGTATTTATGTGCAATGGGAAAATTTGTCATTGGAATATAACAACTTGGGAAGAAAATAATCTACTTTTTGTGAAATCATAGGCTTGATAAACTGTTTAGCTAAGTGGGCGGCAAACAAATTTACAGTGGCTTCCTCTTTGATCAAATTTGTCTGTGTGTAGAAGATTGGTGGCATAGTAAGGAGGATTGGTGGCATAGTAAATTCACCCAAATGCTAGAAGCTGGTCATATGTAGGTGAATTGTTGTGGAAAGATGAGATGGTGATTTTTTATATAGAATAGATGTGGGCAAACAATTGATTAAATTGCAAGATGTTTGAACACTTTTCTGAAAATTTAAATGCCTGGTTTACTTGCAAATAAAGAGCCCTTCATGCATTTAAAAGATGAAATGATTATCTCTTAACATTAGGGCTATAAACGAGCCGAGCTTGAGCGAGCTCAGGCTTGGCTTGTGTTCGGCTCGTTCAAAATTGCTCGTGTTCGAAATCGGCTCGTGTTCAAAATTGACTCGTGAATAGTGTGTTCGTGCTCAACTCGATTTAAATATTCGTGTTCGTGTTCGACTCGAAATTGGATTGTTAAAATTATATTGAAAAAATTAGATGTAGTGTTGGATTCGAACATTGACCAATTATATGCAAAAGAAGACACATAACCACATCATCATATGAGCTGTTACGATTTAAACTTAGATATAAATATATATATAATATATTATTATATAAGTAATATATGCAATATATTATTATATAAATAATTATATATTTTTTTTTATTTCGAGCTAGAACGAGTTGAACACGAGCGAACAAAAAATTGTTCGTGTTCTGCTCATTTATATTTCAAGCTTTAAAAACTTGTTCGTGTTCGACTCATTTACTTAACGAATGAGTCGAACATGAGCTGTTCACGAACAACGAGCTTTTTTGATAGCCTAAGTGCTAACACACTGCATCGCGTGACTAAGCACTTATCACGATGTTTTTTTTTTTTGGCAAGGTGATTTTTAGTGGAAAGACTTTTAGTGAAGTTGCTGGTTTGAAGCATGTTGATATGATAATTGAATTGTGTTTTCACTTAAGAACCAAATGGTTATAATATCCATTGTATGTTACTCATTGGATTTATGCAAACATGTCTAGTGTAATCATAAAAAATTGTAAAGGCAAGCCCTATAATGAAATTTTATTTGATGTGGTCCTCAATTATAATATTGTATTGAATCTAAAGGTGATTGAAATGAAATTGAATTAGATGGAAACGGTAAATGAGTTTATTTGGCCAAAGGGCAAATTTTGCAAACATGCTTGAATTGAAATAAATTGCATATTATTATTTTTAATTTTTGAGAACTTGAAGAGGATTAGATGATAGGTACCCGAGCTCTTCATCATGTTTAATATGAAGTGTATTATGCAATGAAACTAACTCATTCAATGGGTGTTTGACTATCATCTGCAAGCTAATGGTTGCTGTTTGAGGAAAACTTTTTGGGTTTATCAACTCATTTTAGAAATCACATGATTTGTGGGTTTGTCATTAATGATCTAACAAATATTCAATTGCGGTTTAGTAGTAGAATGGAATTCAATGACATGATTGTAGTTTTACTTGCAAAAACACTTAGTTTATCATCATTGCTTTTAGGAATGATCATCATCTTTGCTTTTTGGGGCCATGGCCATTTGTTGGTTGTATTTTTCAATTGCGAGTGTTGGCTTATTATTTATTGGCAGAAATTTTTCTCATCTCTAATAGCTTTTCAACCTCCATCCCTCACATCATCTGCATTTGTTTGAAATAGATTTGATGGGTAATGGAGTTTAAGTTCTCGAAGGACAACCCTGTTGGTATTGACATTTTTCAATGTTATTGTAATCACTGTTCGAATTGAAATGATGAAGCGGTGCTTAAACTTTTCAACATCATGCGCTTGACTCACATTGATATTTAAATCTATAAGCACGAAATGATGGGTTTAGTGACCATCTTGTTTTTCTTGTTGATCTAGGAATATACTGTGTGTCAAATAGGGGTTGTGTCGACAAGATCTGCACTTGAACTACGACATAACTTTCATAAATGAGAAATTGCATAATTTTCTCTCTCTCTCTCTCTCTCTCTATGTAACAGTATTTGTAAAATCAATCACAATCAATCAAAGACTAATGACTTATTCTATCATGTAATTAAAAAATCTATTTTTTTTAGTAGCTGTAATCCTTCCTTTCCTGTGATACAGTAGGTTACTTTATTATAATTGTAGATGTTATTGTGTGAGGCAGAGCCAATCAGTTGAGATTTTGTGAAGGAAAATGAATGAGCATTTTACCTCTTAAATAAGTTATGTTTAGTGATTTGTAATGCGTTTTCTTGTTTAATTAAGAGTGCAGCTCATGTATTCTGTTTCTACTTTTAATGCAGGCAAGTAATTTACTCCTGGTTTACTGTGTTTTTCCGGATGGCACCCCCAGCTAAAGGTATGACGAACCCAATGTTTTAATGCTTTTATTGTTTTATATTGATATTTGTATTTTAAGAGATCATTAATCATTTATCTTAACCTCTTATTATGCATTTTAGATGGGGTAAAGTACTCCAATTCTCAATTAATTTGCTTATTGATTGGTCATCATCCTTTCAAACTTAATAATTAGTGCACATGCATGTAAGTGTATTGAACGGAATGAATGGAAAATTAAAGTTTGGGGTGGGGAATTTTAACTCGACTTTTTCAAACTGAAGCATAGAAAGAAGCTGCTCGGTGACACTAATTACAAGGGCCGTTTGATCTATTTCAATAAATTTATGCTTTATGTTGAGAGTAGGGCCTTAACTCTCAGGTTATTGAAATAAACCTGGTGAAACTGGAGCATACAATAACTTCCTCTTTGAGTTAGTGCTACCAATCACACATTTGCTCCTCCATATTACTTTCACTTATTTTACTAGAATCATTCTTTTGATTGTGACTAGAAACATAGCTCATCAAGGAATATTTGTTAATTTTTTTTAAGTATTGGACTTTGTTCAAGGAACATGTCTGCTAATATTACAATTTTTAATTCAGTTCACAGAACTCATGGGTACAAATCATTCGAATCTGTAGTTTTTGTGTTTAAAGTCATATATTAAATATGTGAACTCTGGAGTTTCGGTTGACAAGTGATTCATAAGTTTCACGCTTGCAAAACAAAGCCCCTTATTTCAGGTTGGTTTCTTAAGCTGCAAGTCAGTTTATTTTTTATTTTTTATTTTTTTTATTTTTTATTTAAAATCAATTCTTTGATAACAAGGGAGAAGAGGCATCAACTACTTATTTTCTTTGGGTTTTACTGGCGTATTTTTGCTTTTGACTCTGATGGACTTGAGCCCTAGGAAAGAATTGCAACAAATATCTCATTTTTTCTGGGTCAAAATTCCTTCTATTCCTCCTCTTATCCCTTCTATGAAAAGAAAGTGAGATGCTAGGCAAACATGCATTTAATTTTTTTCATTTTTCCGGGTAGTATGATCTGAAACCTATTTTGATTCGTGCCCACCCTTATTTCAATGGGTGATTTAATAGTATAGGAAGTCAGGTTTTTATAGAGCAGTAGTTTGTATATTTTGAACTTTGCATATCATTTTTTTTATTTAAAAGCTGATATCACCTACTAAAAGATTTAGCTTAACATAACTAGCTCTGTTGCGCCTTATGCATCATCCTACTTTGAATTGTGATCTATTTTGGATTTCTGAACTTTTGACGTGGCATTTAGATGCATGACTTGAGTAGCTGACATGCTACATATGAAATAAAAGCTTTTGTTCTTATTTTCATTTATTAAGAATGAATATTTGTATTCTATTTTTAATTGATTTTTTTATATAGAAGGGAGTTAATTTTGTTTAATTTATTGCTTTGTATTCATTATATTGCTGAACCATATCTTAAGTTGTTTTCTAATTACAGACATTTTCATTTTACTTGTGTTAAATTTTAATTGTTTTTATTAAACTATCAAGTTAGATGAACTAATTATCGCCCCCTTCCAAAAAACAGTTTTTTAGTGTGTGTAACAAGATTTTAAATAACATCGATAATTCATTTGCTTTTAACATGGAGTTGTTTTATTTTCAGGGTTCTCTATAGTAAAGAGGTTGAATATAAAACAAATACACCTTCCCTAAGCATTTTAAAAGCATGGTGTTACAAACAAATCTCTTATCTTTCTCAGGAAACTATGACAAACATGGTTTAATTGAGAAATCAATTGTTTAAGATTTTAAAATTTGTTTTTTATTTCAAATTTCATTGCATGGTCTTTTGTGTAAGATTTAATTCCAAAAATAATTCTAAATAACTTGGATGTGGTGATTAGAGATAATTTTAGAAATTTATTCACATTGACGGCATGCTAGACACTGCCTAGCAAGTTTAAATCTAAGAAGAATTGTTATGTGATTGATTTGTGCTCTTTTTTTTTTATTTTTTATCACGAGATTTTATTGAAAAGCCATTCTGATGCAAAGATAGCAGACTTAAATTGTTTAATGTATAGTTTTAAAGGTTTTTTTTCCCATGCCTGAGGTAAATCATTTTGTGAACGCTGCTTTATATACAACGATTGCTGGAAACTATGTTTTAAATTTAATATATGTAGATCAAGACACTTAAAAAACACAAATAAAATTAATTTTATAAGTAAACTTCAAGATCTTAAGATTTGTGATGTTCACGAGGAAGTAAATTCTATCTGGATAAAGTAAGAAGCACTATTAAACAAGAGACAAAAGATGTACTTGAAGAATTAAAAGAAAAAGTTTTAGTTGGTGGAATAATAATGTGCAAGAAAACATAAAATATAAGTTTTATTAGAAAAATTGGTTTAAATATAAAATTTTTAAAAAATGAGAAAAGCATAAGGTCACCTTTAGGGAATCTAAGAGAACAATTTGTGATATTAGGAATTATGTTTTAGTGATTTTTATAATATATTAGATATTAATGAGAATGAAACATATATATATAAACTAGCCAAATAAAGAGAAAAAAATAAATATTTATTTCAAATAAAGTGTAAAGTTAAAATTAAAAAAATATTCTTTTAGATGAAGATATTCAACATAGTTGGGTGAGATATTTTGATAAAATTTTCAATGAAGTTTCTGAAAGTGTGATCGACTTTAGTGATCTTAGTATCATTAATAATAATAAATTTTTTTATTTTCACTATCGAATTAGTAAGATGAAATATGAGTATGCTTAAAAAAAAAATCAAGGGTGGAAAATTAGCGAGACATGATTGTATCCCAATAGAAGTGTGGAAATATATCATAATTGCATTATAAAACTTAAAACACACATAAAAAAAAATTCAATAATTTTAAATATAAAAATATTTAATAATTGAATGACTAATCTTTATATTTGTTGGTAAAAAAAATGTAATCTTTTTTTGAAATCTTGTATTATATATTTCCCAAGGTTTTTAAAATCGGACCGGACATTGAACCGGTAGGAGAGATTCAAGGTTTAAAGCTTGAGCCAGATGACCTAATAAGTCATAAATGTATTTGAAAATGACAATACATAAGATTTACATCCCACTTAATTCATATTTATTTAAACAACAAACGCTTAAAATTTAATTTTAACATTTGTCATTTTATCTATGCATGAAAACATATTTTTCATTTTTTAAAAATTAAAATAATGATATGTTTTATGTGATATGGATGATTTTGGAGGTATAAATGTAAAAAAATAGTTTAGGTGTTAGATATGTAAATAAATAAAATTGTTTTATGTAAATTGAATTTCTTTATAATAATAATGTTTTTGATATGATATGAGTGATTTGGGTGGCATACATGTAAAAAAATTGAGTTTATGTGTTAGATATTTAAATTACATAAAATTGGGTGGTATGTAAATGCCCGTGAGTCGAATGTTTCCTTGAACCGGAGGCGATTCGTTGGTTCAGGGGTTTAATTGCCAGTTCAATTTGGCTCTGGGTGATTATATTCGGGAGAGGTTTTTTTGCCAATTGGAACTGGACCTATGGCAGGTTCACCGTCGAACCGGCTGGTCCGGTCCACTTTTCTAAACCTTGGTATTTCATTCCTTCAAGATTTGATAATCTAAAAGTTAAATGTAGGTGAGAGAAAATTAAGATTAATTAAAAATCTAACAAAACTTGAAAGCTACAATCATAAACGTCTCAACATTTCTCTTATAAATATCAAATGTCACTATCTATGAAAGAGGATAAAGCAAAACATGAAAGAAGATAAAGCAAAACATTACATTCCTCTAAAACACAACTTCATTTTAATCACATAATTTTATATATATAAATTAGTCACATCCTTTCGTATAATCAATCAAAAAAGCTAAATTAAATATTAGCTTTATGCCAAAAATAACAATGATCATCCGAAAAATACATTATGGTTTTAAATTTAAATATAAAATAACTTTCATATTCCTTTCTTCCATCAAACATGAAAAAAAGGCAATGCAATCTTTAAAAAAATAAAAATAAAATAAAGTAAAATCGGTTATTAAAAATCGCAGCCGGTTCAGCGGTCAAACTGTTCAACCTTGGTTTTCATCGGTCCAACTACAGTTATTCAAAATCTGGTTATCGCTAGCGTCCGGACCAGCTGTCCTACCGGTTCACAGTTTGACCAGTTGGATTGGCTTGTTCGATCCAGTTTTAACAATCTTAGTAATGTGTCATACATTAAAATTATTGGAGGGAGTAATTGAACAGAGGTTAACACAATACAAATATTTTTCATAGTCAGTTTGAATTTATGCCGGACAAGCCTACATTGGAAACTATACATTTATTGAGAGGTTTGAATCATTTGATGGGAAAGTACATACAAAGTAAGGAGGATCTACATATGTTTTTTTTGATTTTGAGAAAACTCACGATAAGGTTCCAAGAGAAGTTATTTGGAGAGTTGCATTGATATGACTTATAATCAAGTCATTAAAGATATTTATACTATATTTGTTACTTGTGTGCGAACAAAAGGAGGATTGGTGAAATATTTTCTATTTCAATTGGATTACATCAGAGATCGACTTTAAGCCCATATCATTCTACTTTAGTTATGAATGCTTTTTTTGAACATTTACATGAGAATGTACCTTGGTGCATGTTTTTTGCTGATTATATCCTTCTTGTGGATAAGACTAGAGAAAGAATTCAGGAAAACTTGAATTATGGAGGTCTACTTTAATGTCTAAATGCCTTCGCTGGAGTAGATCTAAAACTGAATACATGGAATGTTATTTTAGTAGTTGATCTAATGGCAGAGTTGTAAGAATAGGTGATCAAATGATTAAAAGGAGTGAACATTTTAGATATCTCTGATATATTGTTCAAAGTGATGTTGAGATAGATTTGGATGTTTTATTAGTAGAATTCAAGTTGGATGGTTGAAGTGGAGGAATGCATCGTGCCTATTATGTGATGGAGAAGTACCACTTGAGCTTGAAAGGAAAATTTTTTAAGATAGTGGTGAGACTTGCAATGCTTTATGGTGCAAAATGTCGTCCTATAAAAGAATAGTATAAAGCTAAATTAAGTGTTGTTCAGATGAGATTGCTTAGTTGGGTAAGTAGCTTTATACTTGGAGATAAAATGTGAAATGATTATATTCTTGAAAGGGTTAGTGCAGCTTTAACGGGAGATAAGATTAGAAAGATTCACATTAAGCATCAATCATTTGATGATTTAGTTAGAAGAGTAGATGTTTTGGATTCGACTTATTTTAAGAAAGGTAGTGGTAGACCCAAAATAGACCTAAAAAGATGTATAAAAATGATCTTAATTTATTAGAATTAAATGAAAATATAACACTCAATATGACACAATGGAGAAAACTGTTTCATGCAGTTGACCCCTTAGTGGGATAAAAGCTTGTTGGTATTTGGTGATTATTTCATATATACTTAAATTATTGGATACAAATCAATCTTTTATGGCACATTATAATGTTCTTAGGATCAAGGTTTTGAAAACCAAACTAAGCATTGAACCGACAAAGGAAGATGTTCAAGCTTACAAGGTTGTGCAGGGAGTTCAACTGGATAACATAATAAATCAAATTTATTCAAAAATAACATAAATTATGTAATATTAACATAATTGATGCCTTAAAATTTTGTTACAAAGAATAATGTAACACAATAAAATCATCTCTTCAATCAAAATTGCCAAATTTGATCATACTACTTTTAATAGTGGTTTATTTTGGAGGTGATATTAAAGATTTGAGTGTTATGTTTCGAAATATAAAAGTTTAGGTGTTGTATTTTAAAATTAAAAGATTGGATGCCGTGACAGAAAATTGGAGACGGAATGGCGCAAGCGGTAGAAATTGAACCGGAAACCAGTCTCCGATTATTCGCTTTGATGGTTGAACTGGTGGTTTGATCGTTCTTTGAATAATTCAATCCGGGATATGGGTTTAAGTCGATCTGAAACCAGCCCTAGATCTTGTTCGGAGTCGAACCGGCAGTCCGGTCTGGTTTTTAAAAGCTTGCTTAAGATTAATAGAACAAAAATGGCTAAATGATTTATAATATTTCATAATGTATTTAATTGAAATTAAACAATAATCAAGCTACACTGATCATGAGAAATTAAAGGATTTTGATTTCATTTTGTTGGAAGGTGGGGAGTTATATTAGCATAGAAGTAAATGTAATCTGGAGTTGTGATTTGGGTTTTAAATGGAGGTGTTTAGAAAGTATTATACGATGAGAGAACATAATAAGAAAGTTGAAATTTATAATCATGTCTCCGAGATCTCTGTTCAATTTGATTGATACTACCTCCTTGATAGATCGGTTGATTGTTATAGAAGTGAGATTGTTTGGACTGCTGCATTAAGAAGTTGTGCTGGAGTGATAATCGGAGTAATACTTACTGAAGTTGGTTTGGGAAAAAGGTCTATTATGTTTTTTATGCATGTGAAATGAAGAATAGAATGCCTACACATTAGGCAGGCGTATAAAACCTTTTGAGATTTGGAACTGAAAATGTTAGTTCAACAATATCTCGTCAGTGATTTATGTGGCTGATCCTTTGCTTCTGGGATTAGGCCAATGATGGTAACGATGATGATGAGGATGATGATAGTCTGATAAAACCAATATTTTGCGTTGATAACACATTTTCTATGGTGTATAGTTTTTTTTTTTTGAAAAAGTGAAATCGATATTTGGTTCAGTGGGCACCAAATATCGATATTTTGTCCAGTGGGCATCAAATATCGATTTCTCTCATATGGGTTGAAAATCCGGTGTGCTTGATTCTGATTCGAAGAGCTCGCACCACGGGATTCGAACCCTCGACCCGAGAGACTTATGCCAGAGGCCACACCATATGGTTGAGCTAGTCATCTACTCGTGAGTTGCAAGACAAGATAATTAAAGAAAATTAATTATTAGACATATTTGAAGTTAACTTCTGCGTTTACTGATGAATGATGGATTTAATTGTTGTTGGATTCTCTGCAACGGAATTCTTAATCCATTTATTTTAAGTTACTCATAAGATTAAATAAATTCACTTGCGTACGTGTTTGTTAATTATTTGGAACTGTGTCAGGTGAGAGTAGAAAAGTAAAATGAGATTAAAGAACACAATTTATCAGACATTAGTCAATTACATTTAGGCAATATTTTATATTTATCACGATGTATTTATGTATGTAATGTGACAATATTTTTATGTTATGTTTTTTATCATGCAAATTTGGTTATAGATTGGTTTCTAAATGTTGCCCAAGTACAATCAGGTAGATAGCTCATCCGGTTTTGCTGACCAGCCAGACTGGTTGTTTTAGCAATTTTAAAGTTGCTAGATTTAGCAATTTCATCTTTACAGAGTTGCTCTAAAAGTGAAAAAAAAATGAAATTAAATAAAATCTAAAAAACTTCAATAATTTAAGTAAAAAAAATATCAATAAATGTGTAAAACAAGTTTATCAATATTTTCAATATCAAAAGTAGAACAGGAACTTTTCTTCTTTTATGGGTTGCGCCAGCAGAAGATGATCCAGTAATAGTGTTCATTATCAATGTCATGAAAAGGCTGATGCAGCTAAATGATGCACGCCAAAATTTTATTGAGCTGTTTTCCTTAATCCATATTATATATATATATATATATAAACCTTAATCCCACTACGTGGGGTCGGCTACATGAATCCTTTTTCTCCATTGCGTCCTATTTAGTGTCATATTTTCTTTTAGTTCTGTTAAATTAAGACCATTTTTTATACAATAAGCACGAGTTTTCGTAGGTCTACCTCTGTCTTTCTTAACACAAGTCAAATCTAAAACATCTACTCTTCTAAACGGATCATCATATGGCCGACGTTTAATGTGAAATATATATATATATATATATATATATATATATATGTCTGTTTTTTTTTTGCGGCCATGAAAAGCCTTAAACTTTGAAAATAATGTCAAAAAAAATGCACCTCCAATCCAAACAACCGTCGGCCACATATAGGCTCTCCTGACTTGCATGTTTTTTTGTTATCTCCCTATATATTTGGTTGCTTATTTCATGTGTTTATTTATAATCAGCTACGTCCAAAAAGCCTGATGCAAAGGCACAAGCCGTAAAGGTTGCCAAGGCAGTAAAGGCAGGCTCATCCTCAATCAAGAAAAAGGCCAAAAAGATCCGAACTTCAGTTACATTTCACCGTCCAAAGACATTGAGGAAGCCGGGAGAGCCAAAATACCCTAGAATCAGTGCTTCTCCCCGAAACAAGCTTGATCATTATCAAATCCTCAAGTATCCGCTAACGACGGAATCCGCCATGAAGAAGATCGAAGAGAACAACACTCTCGTCTTCATTGTCGACATCCGAGCTGACAAGAAGAAGATCAAGGCTGCTGTCAAGAAGATGTATGACATTCAGACGAAGAAAGTTAACACTCTTATTAGGTAAGTGGTCTTACTATTTAATATTTGTTGCAATTAGTGCTATAAATGTATCGAGTTGAGCTTGAGCCACCCTCAGGTTGAACTTGAGTTTGAGCTTAATTCTACGATTTCAAGCTATTTGAGGAGCTGGGTCGTTTATTATGAAAGAGAAAATAAATATTAAACTCTCGGGTTGAACTTGAGCTTGGTTAATTAATTGATTTTGAGCTTAATTCTTTGAGTTTAAGCCATCTCAAGAGCCGGCTCGTTTATTATGAAAGAGAAAAAAACATTAATTCAAGTTAGTGTTATAATAATGGAAGATTTACATGCATACAATTTAATTCTTTTGTATTTAAACCTCTAACACCTAAACTTTAATTTTTACATACATGTCACTCTACCTATTTATGAAGAGATGTATTTCGCTTTTATTTTTGAAATGATGTGCAAGGTTTAAGTGATATAAATATAAAAGTTAGACAATAGGAATTGATGTAAATGCTCATATAATAAAATGTTAAATAGAATACAAAATTATGATATAATTAATAAGAAATCACTTGGTATATATGTAAAATGCTATTTTTTTTAAAGTATTTTAATAATTTAAAGATAAAGTTTTAAATTTTAATGTATTTTGAGAATATTTGATATTAATTATTTTTTAAACAAGCTTGCTCATGAGCTAACCAATCGAGTCGGGCTTGACTTGAGTTTAATTCATGAGCCACCTATCGAGCCGAGCTTAAGCTAGCTCATGAGTCAACATTGCTCGGTGGTTACACCCCTAGTTGCAATAAGGAGCAGTTTTTTTCATACTTCAGTATCTTTTAATTTTAATTTATTTTTTCTAATATTCAACAGGCCTGATGGCACAAAGAAGGCTTATGTGAGGCTGACTCCTGATTATGATGCCCTTGATGTTGCAAACAAAATTGGTATAATCTGAGTTATGCAACCTGGAGAGCTAGTCTTATTTTGTTGACTAAGTAGATACTGTTAGTTTCATTTATAAGGTGCAGAGATTTGAGATATTTTCATGTTTCTTAGTTTTCAGTTTGTATTAAGCTTCTTCTGCTTACTGTTGAGCAAGTTGGATTTTTTTTTGGAGATTTCATTACTACATTACTATGTACTGTTTGAAATGTCTTCTTCATTAGTGCTTTTCAAGCATCTTTTATTTTCTGATGTGATTCTTGTTTTGTCTACCACATTCCTTCATAACTTTTTTGTTAGTGAGGTTTTAGAGAATTGAAGTTTGTTAACAATGCTTATCTTTGATTCATGATCATCATCATCATCATTATCAAGATTAATTTGTTACCATCATCGGTCTTTATCCTATCTTTCTTTCTATTGCAATTGTTCTTTACTATTTATTTATGTTAGATGTTGCATATAGCTTTAATTATGGATGACATTTAGAGCTTGTTTGAGCGAGCTTTGTTGTTCAGCGAAGTTCCTTTAGAAGTCATATTTTTGGATGGATATTGTCATCTGCAACCTAAAATGACGAAAAATTGTCTAATGAAAGCAAATCTATGTGTTGACGTTCATATATATATAAAGTTTGATTTCGTAATTGCACATTATAAATAGGCATTGAATGCATACAATACAAGTTATATTATGGTTGCTTTTCTTGTAAATGAAATAATAAATATCATTATAAAAAGATGAGAAACAAAGCAAAGATGATTAGCATGCATACAACATAATTGTTATCCTTATTTTTAAAATCACATCAAAATTAATGTTAAGATCAACTTATATTTGAATTGAGGTATTGTTTTACATGAATATGCTTGATGTGATTAGGGTGTCATAAAAGCATGCATGCCATCCAAATCTCAACTATTTACATATCTAACACTGAAGTTGTTCCTTACACTTATTATGAAAATATATATTTCACTTTTAAGTGGTGATGGTATTTTTGGCAGGACGTTAAAAATTTATGGTATGTATGTAAATACAATGTTACAATAACTTCCCAGCAGCTCAATCTGTAGGCCCCAATGGCGACCAAATTGCTCTACTTTTGTTCAAGCATTTAGGTATTCTACCAGGCAAGTTGCTTCGGCCCCCCTGTAGCCAATTGATTCTCTCACTAGTTTAGCAGTGTGTGGACGCCTTTTTTCTCTCTCTACCTCCACAGTACCCTCTACTAATTTTAAACTCCGATTCTGTGGCCTCTTTTTACATTTATACCATACAATTCTCATGCAATTACTTGTCTCAACACATACAATTTGATATTTGCATTTATAATATCTTGGTGCCTATTTCTCCTTTAAAAAGATGGCAGTAGCGAATGTTTAGGTGTTCGATATGTAAATAAATAAGAATTGTGTGGTATGTATGTAAATGCTTTTTATTACTTTGGATTTACATGTCTTGCAAGTTACACCTAAGCTTCAATTCTTGTATCTATGCATGAAAAAGGTGCATAACACCTATGTCTTTGTGTGATGTGAATCGTTTTGGATGGTATAAATGTAAAAAAAATGGGTGTTAGATATGTAAATACGCAAGAATTTAGTGGCATGCATGTAAATATCCCTTTTCTTTGCTTTTTCTTGGGCTCTTTGTTTATTTCAGGCGTCATGTGCTCCTGCTTATATTCCTTTCGGTGGAGCTGTTGTTGTATTTCCTGTATCCGTCATTTTCATGTCCTACAGTCACGGACTGCTGAACTAATCAAATGTGAAATTTACATTTATACCACGCACTTCTTACATATTTATTGATGGAATAATTTACAAATGTACCCTTATTTGACTTGCTTACTGTAAAGTGTTAGTGGAGTAGATTCTGGCATCTCATTATTAGCTGACATGTTAGTCTTAAATTAATGGGAGACAAACTCCATTTAAAAAAGGAAGTGGGGAGACTCAACGAGCAGTTCGGACTTGTCTGCACAAGCGAATCTAAGGTGGAAGATTTACATATGTGCCACTTAATTCCTATTATTTACATATTTAACTTCTAAATTTCAACTATATATATGTTAAAATAATTATATTTTTTATTTGATATGAAAGATTATGGGGTTATCATTGTAAAAAGTAGAGTTAAGATGTTAGATATGTAAATAAATATGAATTGGGTGGTATGTATGTAAAATATCCTATTAATAATAATAATAGATAAATAAGATAGTGAAGGGTGTAATTGTGGTGGTCTTGTTGCCTCTCTAGTGGTATTTATGGAACTTTAATCCTTTGAGGCTCCTATTTGCAGGACTGGAGAGATTTAAGTAGCTTTATGATTTATTTGGACTTATGTTTTTTTTCTTAATGCATGTTTAAAAAGTCAACGAAGGAATGCGTGCAAGCAAAAATAAGGTCCGATGGATTTCGATGAAGAAGATAAGCTCGTCCTAGCGATCTCACGGGTGAACTTATGGGTAAATGATAGAATTTGTCGGTTGACATCTAGTGCTTATTTGTTCTCCTTTGAACACCTCTAGTATGCTAAAGTGATTGATTGCCTGAAGAGCTTTCCCTTAATTGTCAAATATAACGCAGCCTTGATATTGAAGCGTCTTGGGTCTGTAATCTCTTATGATATTTTTTTAGTCTCCATGTAGAGGATGTATGGGTCCATTTGACTACATGGCCTCAGGTTCTCCAACAGTCGATCAAACTAGTCTCTGCGGTACCCCACCCAAACTGATGCGCTTGGACAAGATGTCAATGATGTGGTTATCTTTGCGATCGACATCTTTGATCCAGAAATTTTTGAATCCTCCGGTCTCCTTCTTTGTCGTGGCGAGGTACTTAGTCATCAATTCATTTCTCGCCTCAAACTCGTTGTTGACTTGTTTTATGACCAACGACAAGTCTGATTTTACCAATAAATCTTGGGCACCAATTTCGTATGCCAAACTGAGCTCTGCTATCAAGGCTTCATGGTCAGCTCGGTTGTTGGTTACATCGAAGTCCACTAACGTCGACTGATAGAGATGTTCTCCGGATGAGCTGCTCAACGCTAGTCCCAAACTTGTGGTCTCCTCTTTGGAAGTTCCATCGATATATAAGATCCACATTCGATTCTTGACAGTATTTTGCTCACTCGATTCCTTCGTTTCAAAATGCCACATGAAATTCACTGAATTCCATTGAACATTTGAGTAGTTGTCCGAAATGCTCCAGCTGTGTGAGTACCAACTTCAACAGATGATCAGTAATGACCCGAATTGGATGCATTTGAAAATACGATCAAATTCTAAGAGCAGGAAAAATCAAGGAAATTGTTAGTTTTTTCCATAATTAGGTACCCTTCTTCGACACCTCTGAGTATTCGGCTGGTATAATAAGCAAGGAATTGTTTCCCAGCTTCTTTTATGACCAATACTGAGCTGACAACCTCTCGCCCAACTCTGAGGTACAATGAGAGTTCCTTTTCTGGTTTGGGGCTCTGCAATAGTCAAGGTGATGCCAAAGATTCTCTCAAAATTTAGAATGCTTCGTCGCATTCAAGTGTTCGCTCAAAGCACTGAATTCTCCTTAGTGCCCTGAAGAACGCTGCACATCTCTCACCCAATGTTGAAATGAACTGACCCAGGCTTGTGATTTGTCCGGATAGCTTTTGCACTTCTTTAGTACTTTTGGGAGATGGCGTATTTAAAATGGCTAGCACTTTTTCAAGGTTGTATTTTATCCCTTCAGAAGTTAGTAAAAGGCATAAGAATTTGTCGGTCGACTCACTGAAAGTACATTTTGAAGGATTCAACTTCGTTATACTTTTTAAGTGTTTTGAATGTTTATTTTAGTTTTCTTGTGTATTGTTCAACCGATTTACTTTTAACTAAGACATCATCCACTTCACCTCAACATTTTTTCCTTTTTGATTTAAAAAAATTACATCAATGAGGCGCTGATAGGTCGCTCCACTATTTTTTAGCTTGAAGGGCATTACATTAAAACAAAAAGTTCCTTGTGCAGTAATGAAAATGATATTTTTTTTTGCGTCAGCCAGATGAATTTTTATCTAGTGGTAGTCGGAGAACGCATTGAGAAAACTCATCACGATGTAACTGATTGTAGCGTTCACGAGCGCATCGATCTTTGACAACGTTTAGGTATCATTCGGGCATGTAGTGTTGACGTTGGTGAAGTCGACGCACATCCCCCATTTTTCATTGGGCTTTCGAACCATCACTATGTTCTAGAGTCGAGTTGAATACTGGACCTCTTGAATGTAACCAGGCTCTTTCAAATTTTTTACCTTTGGCGCTATTGGCTATGTCAGAGTTCTGGCAATCGACCTCATCTTTTGATGCACCGGTCGAGCAATTGGATTGATATTTAATCGATTTAAAGCTACATCGATCGAAATCTATGGCTTCTCTGTGACTGTCCAAGCTACATCGATCCTTGTGAAGGGTCTCGATCAACAGATTTTTATGCCATGCATTAAAATTTTCACTTATTAGGAAAAAAAATTATCGGATTTGTTGTCGTTAGTTGCAGGCACTTCATGGATGGTCTCACTGGTCTCGAGACCCCCTTCCCTTTGTATTTGAATGTCAAGTGGCTCTTGATTCATGTTAGTGATCGCTTGAAGTTAGTAACTCTTTGACTATTCCAAGTTCCCCCATACAGTTATAATCTCTTCGTCCCGTTCAGCAGTGGTCGGCTGAATATGACATTGTAGGTTGAAGGAGATTCATCTACTAGGAAATCTTCCATGCTAGTTTATTGTTTTTATTGCTCTCCTCGTGACATCCCCAGTGTGATGACACTCAAAGCTTCTTTTCTTTCGCTAGAGAAGCCAAATAGTGGTTCGACCGACACTGCCAACTTGTTCCTCTTTAGGCTAATTTTATCGAACACCGTCTTGAAAAGGATATTCACTGAACTTCTGGTGGTTGTTGATCAGTGCAGTGATGACGATGGATTTGTTATAGTGGTCTCACCTCGGCAGAAGTTCTGCATCTGTAAAAACAATAAGCAAATGGTTAGGCTT